TTTGACGCATTTTGCGTCAAATAGGTTCGTCACGCACACGCACAGCTTTGACTGGGCTGGCGCATTGGTGGATTGGTGCTACTATCTAGTTGAGCTGACGAGTGTCAGCGACAAACTAAAAATATGAATATTTAAGAATTAACTGCAACGCCAGGTCCAAATACTTTCTGAAGAATTTTGAATATTTATTAGAAATTGTGAACAATTTGGTAAAGGGAAAATAATGTCTGAAAATTTTGAATTTTTTCTGAATAACGCGACAAACTTCCGAACCAAGTTATTGCAGCTATAATTTTTAACAATTCTGAATCATTTTCAGAAACACGAACATTTTTTGAAAAAACACTAAGGTTTCTAGAAAAATATGAACAAATTTGAATCAAGGAACTTTTCTAGATCCAAACAAAATTGTTCGCTTTCTAAATATATGAAATCATGAACAACTTTTTAAAAAGTAATAATAAAATAAATGTACAAAAATTAAAATTGTGGACATTTTTTATTTAATGTGAGCAAATTTTGGAAATGTGTGAATTTTTTTTGAAACAACAGACAATTTAATAATTTTGAAACATTTTTTGAACAAATGTTAAAGAGTTGAACATTTTTTATAAAAAGTGACCATTTTTTTAAAAGTCCAATCATTTTACAAAAGGCGAAAATATTTGTAATTCCGAACACTTTCTAGAAAAGCAGAAATTTCAAATTCTGAAATTATTTTGAATATTTGTATTTTTGCTAATTGTGAATTCACGATAATAAATAAATAAAAATGAACATAGAAACGGAAAAAATGAAAAATAAAAAATAAAATAAAAAGAAAAAAGAAAAAATGTTCAGGGAAGAAGGTTCTCAAAAACCGATAGGCTCGCTGTGGCAAAATGGGCTGGCCGACACTTTGACGCAGAGAACGTCAAACATGGTTTTCCTCTTTTTTTCCCAGGTTAATCGGATGGGCCAAACAATCCTACAACGCGAAATCGGCCACGCATGAAACTGAGGCCGCGTTCAAAAGAGGATTGCCCAATGAAAAATCAGAAGGAAAAAAACCCCAGCGGAAAAAATATCAGAGCCAGGTTTCGATCCTGGGACCTGTGGGTTATGGGCCCACCACGCTTCCGCTGCGCCACTCTGATTCTTGTTGTTCAATTTGCGATGTCTTTCTACTTATCAGGATCAGCGTACTGCCTAAAAATATGAGAATTTTGGTGAAGACCAGGAAAGTGAAAAGATGGACATGTGCAATAGGCATTTTAAATCTCAGGCCTCTAGTTCAAACCTATTTAAATTAAATTCAGATAAGTTTGAATTCAAACACTTCCAATTCGGGTGAAACCTCTTTTTGTGGGGCTACCGCCAGTCGATGTCAATCCATGCCTCCTATGTGCTCCCTCTGCTATAATATAGTGTGCATTGGTTTCCACAAAAGTAAAACTACACAAACTCTTGCCAAGGTTTAGAGAAAAATAATATCTACATCTACAATACCAAATATAGGAGTACAATACAAAAATATATTTCATGATGAATCTAATGATGTTTATTTGGTATTTATTATAGATGTTGATAATTTTTCCTATAAATTTGGCCAAAGTTTACCAAATTTGACTTAAATAAATCTAATATGTGCAATATTTTGGGATGGAGGGAGTAATTACTTCTACTTAATTACTGTCCATTTGGTACTACCTATGTCTGGGTTTATTGGGCACCTCGTATTTTGATATAGACTTTGACCATCTACTAGTAATAATGTACGTGCAATGCACGTTTATATTAGGTAGGATATTAGTTGCACGTTATATTAAGTAAGATATATCTGTTGCACGTTGGTATTTAGTAGTATATCAATTATTTTTCACGGAAATGGTAGGATATTAATTACATGGCAGATTTCATGGGATAGTGTTGAGTCAAAACGTGTTTATAACCAATGGCAGTGGTGGGTAATTAGAACGTTAAACGTGTTTGGTGCTCACCATTGGAGGGATTTGAACCGTTAGATAACATTATTTGGCGGTTGAGATGGTTTGGATCTGCCCCTTTGGATCTTTTTATATTGGTATAGATATAACTAATAAAATATAAATTATAATCCACAAACACAAATATACATTGTTGGATTTGTATTCCAAATAGTATTTAGACAGTATAATTTTGTTGACACATGTTTTACATTTTATTAGTGAAATTTAAGGTCAAAATTTCAGACTGAATTATGATATCTGCATTGTCAGCATCACACAACAGGCATGAGATGAACAAATGCATATGAGATCTTCAAGATTCATATGTGCTGACGAAATTCGATGGTGCAAGAAAATGGATGATCCTTCCATATGTATTGATCATTCAGAATAGTCTTCACTATACTGCTCCGTATCTCCTAAATAAGCCCAAACATTACATGGGACGTTCATTTCCTCGATCACCATGATCGTACCCAAACTGTGCACCGATTAAATAGGGACAGAGGGAGTACTTTTATTCAGCAGAAAAATCGATTCTATAAGCCCCGCAAAAATAATAATTTAATTCTATAAGAAAAGAAAATTCCATCCAAACGTACTTGCAAAGTTCACTGATATGAAATTGCAGGTTTGAAGAGTTTATTGGTCGATCCAGATGATCCTGGACTAGTATAGCTAGAACAGTTGGCCAGATTCACGCATCCTCAGTGGTAGCGAGTTACAACATGCTCGTTATAGTGAGAGCGATGGAGCAGCCCGCAGTGAACGTGGCATCCTCGGCGGCCAGAAGCGACTTGATGCCTAGCTTGCGGAACCCTTCCTCGCAGGTGTCGATGCGCGATATCACTCCTCTGAGGGTCACCTCCGCGTCCTGCAAATTACCTGACTCAGATGCCCTTCACCGCGGCTTCAAGCCAGTTCAATGCGATCGTGTAGTGCACACGACACTCGGAGAGGCACCCGTTGACCTTCTTGTCCGTCCCCGAGGCCATTAAGGCATCGATGCGCTTGCGGGTGTTCGCGGCCTCTGCTTGGGTGATCTTTATGGCGATGACGACGAGGCCGCGCTTGTCCGCAGTGGGGTTGGTGTTGTTGGCTTGGAAGAACAAGATGCAGTAGCTGTAGGAGATGTACTTGTTTCTTGCGGCGACGGACTTGCACATCTAGAGTGGAAGCGCTGGACGAGACGAGGATGAAGAGGAGCAGGTCGAGACACAAGAAAGCTTGCCAGTGCCTCATGGTTTGTGCCACGGGTACCTTGATGAGTATATGTATTGTTTATGGTGCTTGATAACATGTCGTCTGTAGATTGTTCATATATATAATAGTGATCCTAAATACAGAAATACTTGATGAGTAGGTTAATCTTGGGCGCCCGAACTACTCAAGAAAGAAGAAACGGGTAGCCAGGTTTCGATCCTAAGACCCGTGGGTCATGGGCCCACCAGGCTTCCGCTGCGTCACTCTGATCTTCCTGTTTATGTTTCGATGTCCACTATACATGTATGCGATCAGCATCGCATCGTGTTTATGTTTTGCTCCGTAGGTTTTTTTTTGAAATTAACATCAAAACTTGAACATCATTTTTTTGAAAAAAAAATCAGGGAATGTAGAGTCCCAAAAACTAGAAGATCTATCACTAAACGAGTTCCTCGCAAGATCATTTGCAACTTCATTTGCTTCCCACGGGCAACGGGTATATGAAATGTTTCTTAAATGTAAGATGTCTACCAAAACGTTGCGTTGTACGAATTCCAATGGCAACTCAAAGACA